GTATCTGTGTGTCCATCCGTGTATCTGCATATCTGTGTGTCTGCGTGTCAGTCCATGAATCTGTGTGTCCATCCGTCTGTCCGTGTATCCGCGTATCCATCTGCCCGTGTGTCTGTGCATCTGTGTGTCTGTCTATGTATCAGTGTGTCTATGTATCTGCACGTCCCCATGTCCGTGTGTCCCCATATCTGCGTGTCCATGTATCTGTGTCCTCATGTCCATCTGTGTATCCGCATGTCCATGTGTCCGTGTATCCTAGTGTCTGTGCATCCATGTGTCCGCCTGTCTGTCCGTGTACCTGCACATCTATGTGTCCGCGTATCCGCGTGTCTGTGTGTCCATGTGTCCGTGTATCCATGTATCCGTGTGTCCGCATGCCCATGTGTCGATGTATCCGCGTGTCCATATGTCCGTCTGTGTATTCGTATATCCGTGTGTCCGTGTGTCCCCGAGTCCATGTCCCCGTGTCCCCGAGTGTCCCCGAGTGTCCCCGTGTCCGCCCGCAGCGCTGCTCGCCCTCCGCCCTGCAGGGGTCGCGGCGGCGGCGGTGCGGTGCCGGTGCGGTGCCGGTGCGGTGCCGGCGCGGTGCCGGCGGTGCCGCCCTGGCGGCGGGTCCTGCCCGCTCCGCAGTGAGCGCCCCGCGGGCCGAGGCCGCCGCGGGCGGGGATCGCGGGGCAGCGCGGGCGGGGCGGCCCCTCTTGGGGCGCGGCGGCGCTCGGGCAGCGCTGCGGGCGGCAGCGAGCGGGCGGTGCCGCGGGGCGGGACGAGGCGGAGCGCTGCCAGGACCCGTCCCGCCCCGTCCCATCCCGGCAGTGCCGGTGCCGGTCCCGCCGCCGCCATCGCCATGAGGAGCCGGAGCAACTCGGGCGTGCGCCTGGACGGCTACGGGCGCCTGGTGCAGCAGACCATCCTCTGCCACCAGGTGCGGGCACTGCCCGGGAGCGGGGGGTGGGCCCGCGGCCCCGGCGCGCCCCGCCGGCCTCTGGGCCGGGGAGTGACCTGGGAACGGTGTGTCCCCTCCGCAGGACGCGGTGACGGGGCTGCTCCCCGCCAGCGGCGACCACCGGGATGCCTGGGTCCGGGACAACGTGTACAGCATCCTGGCGGTCTGGGGGCTCGGCCTGGCCTACCGCAAGAACGCCGACCGCGACGAGGACAAGGCCAAGGCCTACGAGATGGAGCAGGTCGGAGGGAGCAGGGCCCGGGCGGGGCTGGGGGCACCCGGGGGCTGCCGCCACTTCGGGCGGGTCAGGCTTTGGCACAGCCGGGCCAGGGGCCCGAGGGCCGCGGGGGACTGTGGAGTGAGGGTGAGGACAGGGCTGTCCCCCGGCGCGGGAGGCGATAGGAAGGGGTGTCAGAGCCTGCTCTTCCCAGGGCACTCTGGAGCCCAGCCAAAGGGTCCGTCCCTCTGGCTCCGGGGTGATTGGGGCCACAGCCCTTCTCCCAGGGGCTGGGGAACCGCGTCCTGCAGCTGTGCCCTCTGTCCCGCTGCACAGCACAGCAGCTTGGCCCTGCTGGCAGGCCAAGAAATCTTCCCTCTGCTGTTGCCCCGGGAGCAGAGGCTGTAGATATGTGAGCTGGGGCTCCGATTACAGGCGCCGAGCCCTGCAAAGGTCATCGGCCAGCTGAGCCTGAGTCAGGGCTTCTGGCGATTAACAGGGCTGTTTTCCTTGTTCCTGCAGAGCGTGGTGAAGCTGATGCGGGGACTGCTCCAGTGCATGATGAGACAGGTAGGGGCTGGGGAGCACCTCTGGGTGACAAGTCGTTTCCTTAAAGCCCAGCTATGCCACAGAGACTGTCAGTCCTGGCTGTACCAGCTCTCCCCAGCCTCCCCTTCCAGCAAGTCTTGAAATAAGTTCTGAGTGAGCAGCTGTGATTGAAGTTCCAGTGCTGTGGGCTGGTAGCCAGTGGAGCCTTTGCCAGCTGCTGCCTGTCTCGTGGCCTGGCTGGCGGTAGGACTCTGCAGCTCCCCTTCCTGAGGGCATTTGGGGTGACCCTCTTTCTCTGCGTGGTGCAGCTGTGGCACGGGCCCTCTACAGCTGCAGCCCTGCACTGCAGTGGCCTGTGAGCCACTCACTGCCGTGGTGAGCAGAGGGACAGCCCAGCGGCTGTGGAATTTCTGCCCTGCCAGGCATGGCTCCACATGCTGGGCTCATGGCACGGGGCAGCCCTTGACTTGGGAGATGTCAGACCTCTCTCTGGAAACAAGGTTCTATGAACTCCTGCATCCTTTTACCCTTCTCAAGGTGGACAAGGTGGAGGCCTTCAAGTATACCCAGAGCACCAAGGACTGCCTGCATGCCAAGTATAACACCCAGACCTGTGCCACTGTGGTGGGAGACAACGAGTGGGGTCACCTACAGCTGGATGCCACCTCCCTTTACCTGCTCATGCTGGCGCAAATGACGGCCTCAGGTAATGCTGTTGGGGGTTGCCATCTCAGCTTTGAGCGTGCTGGTCTCCAGGCTCTCCAGAGCCTCAGTTTGGGTGCAGCTTCCTGGGTGCCAAGCTGCTGCAATAGCGTCCCTGACTCCTCTGCTTTCTTATGCTCACAGAACCTGTGGTGGGTTTGGGCCCCTTGATGTCCATTTGTCTGAAACCCCAGTGCAGCCATAGGGGGTGGGATTGGAGGTGGGAGTCAGCCAGGACATGGCTCCCATCAGGCAGGCATGCAGTGGGGAGGAGGGGTCCCTGAGTTACTGCAGCCCCGTCCTGGGAGTACCTGTGGGCTTGGAGTGGCTGATGTGAATTCT